AGTGAGCTGTATACTTCACCAGCACCGCTAGTGACCGAGGCTACATAGTCACCTGCGGTAGGGGTACCAAAAATGGCCTCGCTAATAGCCGCTTGCGCAGAGAGTGCGGCCGCTGAGAAGCTGTCTTGAGCTGCCTGGGTTCCATAGACCTTGGCGCTGACTTGGGATTGAATAGATGAGTATACGCTAGCCACAGATTCGCTGGCTTGTTCAGCGGCACCCTTGGGCGTTCCATACAGAGCAATAGACGCGCTTTCGACAGCCAGATCTAAAGAAGCGCTGGCCTGACTCAGTACGTCCTCGATAACAGCTGGAGGTGTAAAGATTGCGCCAACAACAGAAGTAGCAGAGGCGTATGCGTCGGCGGCTGCGTCAGTCACCGCATCGTAGCTATCGCCAGCGTACGATTGGGCAGACGCGATAGCGGCGGGCAGACCTGTAGAGTATGCGGAAGCAAAACGGCTCATGACGCTTTCCGTGAAATCGGGCTCCTTGCCAACTACAAGCTCGGAAATCAAAGCCTGAACATCAGCGTACTGCTTAGCAGCAGCTTCAGTAGCCTGTGCGCCATATGCACCGGCTTGGGAGTAAACAGACTGTGCCCAGGGCGTAGGTTGACCGTAGACTTGGTTGCTTGCTTGTGAAATCAGAGCGTCCCAGTTCTTGCTGGCTTGCGATGCAACAGACTCTGTCCAGGGTGCCTCCGAACCGATGACACTTGAGCTTATTTGCGAGGCGGCTGACTCCGCTGAATCGGAGATGTAGGAAGCAGCAGAAGCAGCAGAGGCCGAAGCAACTGAAGCCAGAGACTCCACAGTGCCCTGTCGGGGGCCGTTGACAGCACTTGAAGCGGCGTCGACGAATTCAGAGTACCGAGCGTGCGCAAGGCCGATAGCCTCGTAGTACTGTCGTCGAGCACCATCAGCAACACCAGTCGATTGGGGAAGGAATTGGGCGGATGCCTGACTCAGACCTTCCGAGAGTCGGGACGCAGCAATGGAGGAAACTGACTCAAAGTACCCCTGTTGTGGGCCCACTGCGTAGTTCTTTACGGACTGAGTATACTGCACAGCGTTTGACAAACGCTCACTCGCTGCTGCAACAGAGTCGGAATAGGCTTTCTCGATGTATGAGAGCATTGTTTGATGTGCAGGCTGCGGCTTGCCCGAAACCAGCATGGACAATTGAGCCTTAGCATTTTCAAACTGTTTGCTCGCAGCGCTAACAGCATCGTTGTAGCGTGAGCTCGCCTCGATATGAATTGTCTGAATGACAGCAGTAGGAGCTGGCGTGCCAAAGATAGCGTATGATGCTGCGGTGACAGCCTGTGCATACTTGTCGGCAGCGACGCTAGTAGCTTTCTCAACAGCGGGCTTTTCAGTTCCATATAGCACGCTTGAAGCAGCGGCGAGTGCCTTGGCGTATTGTTCGCTTGCAATTGACGAGGCTGATTCGATGCTACCTTGCGTCTTTGATGGTCCCAGAAGCGCTTCGCTGACCGCACGACTCAACTGAGCAGCTCGGTCTCCCGTGTCCGCCAATACTTCCTGCACCTTTTCAGAATATGAGTCATCTTCATCATCGTCGTCAAGAGGCTGATCAAATACGACTTGCTTGGCCTCAGCAAGGATCTGGGCATTGGCACCCCCAAACACTTTCTTTGGCGCCTCATAGGCTTCAGAAGCCTTTGCAGAAACCTCCTCGACTACCTGTGAGGCTACAGAAGAGGCCTGAGACAGCACGCTTTCGGATGATGGTGTACCGTAGATGGCCTCAGAGACTCCAGAGGATGCTTGTGCCGCTGCATCCTCCACAGGGGCTATTACATTCTCAGCAAGTGCAGTCGAGGCTGCTTCAACGGCTTCAGCAGCTTGGGATGATGCCCCGGATGCTGCTTCCTTGACAGAGGATGCAACGCTTTCCGCAAGCGGCGTTGAGCTGCCCTGGATAGCCTCAGATATTTGAGAGGATGCATCCGAGTACATTTCTGCAGCGGACGAGGCGATGCTCTCGCTGAGTGGGGTGGAGCTGCCTTGAATAGCTTCAGAAACGTGACTTGATGCCATTTCAACATTCTCCATGACCTGTTGAGCAGCATTTCGGATGCGAGGTGCAAAGATTTTGTTGGAGAAATCATCACTGGCATCGCCGGCCCAAATCTTTGACTTGGAAACGTCCTTTAGGCGAACCAACTCCGCGACCATGTCCGATGCGATTTTCATGGCCTTGTCCTCGAGCTTCTTAGCTTCCATGTGAGCAGCACGAAGGCCGTCATGTCTTGACCCAACAGCCTCAACTTCATCCTGCCATTCAATGAGCGTGTTCTTCAACTTTTGATAGTTTTGCCAGTCCTTGTATGTGACGCCATCAGTCCATGCCTACGATGCTTTGTTAGCGGAGTTTGTCAGGGAGTTAACTTCTTAGGGCCGCAGCATACCCATCGCATGCCAACCTCTTGAAGGCCAAGGCTATGGATCTTTTCTAGAACCTCGACAGTACTCCTTACTGCAGCTTTCACTAGATTGTCGGTCTCCTGGTCGTACGACACCTTCCAGTCACGGATATCTTGGGCGCGTTGCTTGACCGCAAGGCCGAATTCCCGGGTCTTTTTACTGCAATCATCGTATGCAGCCTCTAGGTCGGCTTCTGAAGCGTCTTCAGGAAGAGAGGCAACAGTTTTTTTGATGTAGCTCTTGAGCTTGGCAATGGTAGCATCAGCAGTCTCCTCGAGTTTGATGAGCAGAGCCTTGCCCTGGCCGTTAACAGCATCGTTAATCTTGTGGTTTGTAATTTCCTCTACACGCACTTCGAGATCTTCGGCACCCTTGTCTGCGGCAGCGGTGAACTTATCCTGCCACTGGCGGAGATCGTTGTTAAGCTTCTCCTGCAGCTCAGCCTTGGTGAGCTTAGGCGCAGAAGGGTCTGCATTGGCTGAAGATCTTGGTTCAAGTTCGTTTGAGGCTGTACTTGCAGATTCACTGCCAAAGAAGTCGTCAAGGACACCCCAGCCAGACTCTTCGGTGGAGCCGGGAGAGGCAGCAGAAGCGGAAGAGCTGGCCGTAGTGGGGGCACGCTTCCTGGATTCCACAGAGGTAGCCGTCTGCGAATCAGCAGCAGACATGGCAGACTCCATCTTTTGCTGGTCTTTGTAGCGGCCTAGTCGCTCGGAGATGCGGACTAGCTGGGGCTCAACATTGTCTCCGTATAAGATGCGGATTTGGGGCCAGACACTGCGCTGGATGAAAGTCCAGGCAGTTTCCTGGGCAGTGCGAAGGTGGGGCCAGACGATATTAACGAGGACGTGGTGGCCATAGGCATGTCCCTGCTTGAGGTATGGAAGAGAACGCTCATAGGCGGGGAAGAGGGTATGGTGGTAGATTTCCTCCGAGCTGACTTTGAGGTCGTTGTAGTGGGGGGCAATGGCGTCGGTCGCCTTCTTGACGTGGGGACCCAGGTGGACGTCATACTGTGCCCAGGCCTGTTCCTGAGCGCTCTGCAGCTGAGGACGAATGGACTTTTCATATTGAGCCTCTGCATACTTCCTTGCAAGCTCGACCCTGTGTGCACCGTGTGTTGCGTATTGCTCCTGTGCAAAGGTGATGGCGGGCGTCGTGTAGGGCTTGACCTTGTCGAGCTGGGGGACGACATAGGTCTCGTAGTAGGGGTCGAGATAGGGCGCGGCGAAGTCGCGAGTTTGGAGATATGGCTTGCACACGCGGGGAGAGTCGTCATGCAGCTGGGTGATGGACTTGGGGCAGCGGAACAGCAAGGTGATGATGAGGTACCACGTTGTCAAGCGTGCTGTCATGCTCGTGAAGGCTCCCATCAGCGTCCGCCGGGGCTTTCTTGAGCGGGCTGAGCGGGCCTGGTCTGCACTGTTCTTCGCCTTTGCATTGGTAGATGCGCCGGTGGAGCCATTGGCACTGCCATTTGGCGAGGTTTTGGACTTTTTTGCCCTTCCGTTGGCCTGGGCGGCCATGGTCGCGTGTAGTCGACGATGGAGCGGAGCGGCTTCTGGGCAATGCGAATCAGCCAATTTACAGCAGCGGAGGCGAGTCAGGCTGCTCACCAAACGGAGCAGAAATGTGCAGCTTGGTGGATTGTGGATAGAAGAAGAATGGAGCTGATGGCCGCTCTCAACGGAACCTGTCTGTTTAGCGTTGGGGGTGCAGCACAACCGAGCTGCAGCAGTGATGTAATTTGCACGTGCGGGCGCAGGAAGAGAAAGAGAACAAGATCAGGATTTGGACATGCGGGCTGATTGTGGCAGCGGGTATTCTTGTGATACGTGACAGGACGACAGCGAACACGGGTCGCTATGTATACGCATCTGTGTCGCGACGGCAGGGATGGAGCTGCGGGTGCGAGTGCCTCAGGTTGCCCCTGCTGCTGTTCCTTCTGCGAGCTCTGTAACGCCCACGCTCGTCGTGCACCGAGAAAATGGGCCGCGTGCGTGTGCCAGCAGCCGATATTTCGTCACAGCATGGCTACTTTTAGGGGCCGGCCCGAACAAGACGCCATGCTTGTTTGTCAGAAATGTACGTAGTGTGTGCAGCATGAGAATGCTAGAGTATCCCACCAGGCACTAAGGTAGCGTCCTTACATAGCCGTTGTGGTGGCCGGGGGGTTCTGTGCCAAGACTGCTCCCAAGGGTCCGGCGGCGACATCACCACCACTTCCGCCCGGTGTCCTCTGCCGCCGCCTTCACCATTCTGGCGCCTCCCCTCACCCACCCCTATCATACCCCCTTCATACGCCACTCCCTTTCCTGTCCGTCTGTATATTTCTCGCCGTGCTCTGCTTGCTTCCACAAGCCGAGCCGAGCCCTGCTGTTCCACCGCGTACCGGCACGCGACGCACCCAGAAACTATTCCCCGTCACTCTAGTCCCGATGACTACTTGAGATACCTCACTCTGCGGCTCCTGCCTGAAAGCGCACTGCCCCGACGACTTCACTTCGCCCTCCTATACCCTGTATACACCTTTAATACCACCCAACAATGGCCACCGATGCCGCGCCTCTGAATGCGGGGCCGTTCGACGATGCCCCCGACTCGCCCGACACACGAACATTCGACAGAGACGAAGCCGATACCTGCCGCATTTGCCGTGGAGAAGGCACTGCCGAAGAGCCTCTCTTCTTTCCCTGCAAATGCAGCGGCAGCATACGATATGTCCACCAGGAGTGTCTGATGGAGTGGCTCTCGCACACGCAGAAGAAGCACTGCGAGCTGTGCAAGACGTCCTTTCGCTTCACCAAGTTATACCACCCAAACATGCCCAACCGCATACCTACGACCGTCTTCATCCACCGCGCCACCCTCCATGTCTTTAACATGTTTGTCACCTGGTGTCGCGGTCTCCTCGTGGGCACCGTGTGGCTGTTTCTGCTTCCCTGGTGCATGCGCGTAGTCTGGCGCAGCCTCTTCTGGGTCGGCGATGGCGGCTGGTCGCGAGAAATGTTCATAGACACGACCGAGACACCGGACATGCGCCGATTCTCCCCCAGTGAACTAAGCACGATCCGGGCTGCAGTTGAAAATGCCAAGACCACGAACAATGCCAGCTCCCTAGCATCCGTGTCCCTCACACCCAACAACCAAACCACTCCCCAGTCCAAGCTCTGGAGGTTTGCCGAACGCCTCTTTATTGGCGCTCCGTATCCGTTCCTTCAGCTGCCCCAAAGTGACCAATCAAGCCTCCTGTCCGTCTCTGACAAGAATATTACGGCATCGAATATTACGTCAAGTCCTCTCGGTGTCCGTAGCCCTTCGTTACTCTCCGACGTACCTTTCTTCAATTGGTTCCAATCCCAATCAGCCAACCGCTTTATCATCGATGTAATTGAAGGTCAAATCATCACTTTGCTTGTAGTGGTTGCGTTCATCTTGGTATTTCTCATTCGAGAATGGGTTGTCCAGCAGCAACCGGTAATCAACATGGTTGCCCTTGGCGATAATGCTGCTGCACAACAGGGCGCAATCTTTGACGACGATGCCCATGTTGAGGACGTCGCGGTTGATGAAGATGAGCTGGACGATGCTCTAGACGCTCTGCATGCCGAGGTCGCTCAAGACGCTCACGAGCTGCATGACCATGATGAAGACGAGCCAGGTTTCCCTGACAACGACGCTCAAGCCGAAGAGCATGACGCCCCAGATCCCACAATACGCCGGGTGCGTCGGCCTTCTTCGCTCCGCAGGGAGCGTGATGACTTGGTCCGAAGATTAGTACGCGAAGGTTTGTCAGATGACGTTCGAGCAATCTTGCAATCGGAATCGGCCAACGGCCTTGCCGATATCTTCAACCAGGATGATGCGACTGCTCAAAATCTTCAAGAGTCTCTTCGCCAAGCGATGAGTGCTGGAGAGTCTGCCAATCAGGCTGAAGATGATGCTGAAGAAGAAGAAGCCAGTAGCTCAACCTTTCCCGCACGCACTTCCTCACTTCCTCTGCCCTCGAGCTCCACACCAGATGCAGCAGATTCTGATTCGTCTGCATCCTGGTCAAGGCCAAATATGCCAGCACGCGACCGCTCGTTCATTGCTACAGAGATTCGTCGCAGCCTAGAAGAGGCCAACACTTGGTCGTTCGAGAATCTGCCACAAGCGTCGCAACCGGCCACTGGTGATGCGAATGAGGTACCCAGTTCTTGGGAAAATGGCACTGGAGGCCGGCAACCAGTTCAAGAGCGTGGGAGTGTATCAGATCACGAGCAGCATAGTGACCATAGTAGCGGAAGCTGGCAACAGGTTCCTGATGTTGTGGGGGGTGACTCTGACCAAGCGCTGGAAAGAGGGCACACACACGACAAGGGGAAAGCCAAAGCTGTTGACTATGGTGACGAAGAAGCATCGAATGAAGACACATCACATGAATCCGCTTCGTCGTCTGAAAGCACTACCGCTGATTCGGACAACGGGGTGACGGTGAATACCACGATTGAAGTAGAGTTTGATGCCAGCCACCCCGCGCACAACTTGACCGCAGACGAAGAAACAGAAGCTGAGGAGGACGAGGAACATGAAGACGAGACCCCTGCACCTGTAAACCCTCTCCAGCCCGCAGACCCTCAAGCCCCAGGAAACCCGGTAAACCGCGTATTAGACTGGATGTTTGGAGATGTGGCGCCTGCAGCTCAGACAGCTGATGAGGGGGGTAATGAGGAGCACATTGTTCGTGACTTGGCAGATGAGGCGCCGTTTGTCCCATTCATGGGCAACGAGGCGCGAGACCATGGCAATGCCCCTGCACAGGATGCTGAGGTAGCTGCTGCCGCTGCGCAGGCTGGTATCGATGTCAATGACCAGGAAGCGATTGAAGATGCAGAGGACTTGGAGGGCATACTTGAACTCATTGGGATGCAAGGACCCTTGGTTGGTCTTTTCCAGAACGCCTTGTTCAGCGCAGTGCTGATTTCTGCAACACTGGCCTGTGCAGTTTGGCTCCCTTACCTTTGGGGCAAGGTTGTCATTCTCTTCATGGGAAGTCCTGTCTCGCTCTTCATCAAGCTGCCTCTACAAGTAGTCGCCACCATCACAGACTTGATTGTTGATGTCACTCTATTTGTCGTGGCTGGCGCAACATATTGGAGCTCTGCTGCCATATCTGGTCTGGTCAAGCTCTTTTCCTGGGGCAAACTTTCAGAAGCGGTCGAGGGCCCACTTCGCACAATATCAGCGCCTGCCTATTCTCTTGCAGAGAGCTCCATGGTTCGTATCAGCAAAATGTTCATGGAGTCGCCTCTGTCGCCTGGACCCGACTCCTTCCGACTCTCAGTAAATGCCCATGCTTCTTTGCGAAGCCTGCAAAATACGACTTCGTTCGCGCTCAACGAGACCAGTCATTTCGCAAACGCAATCATTGAAGAGATTTCAGCAGACTCGCTACCCAAGCTTGTGTTGAGGGTTGCCGGATACTTGCCATCTCTCGTCACAAACACCTTTACATCTGCATATGGACGAGGCGGCGCCTTGTTGTCATGGCTATGGGCTTCCAAATCATACAAGATTACCCTTGATCTGGATTCGACTCCGAACACGACTTCCGCGTATACCGCAATGGACTACTGGACAGCCAGCGATCGCCTGATTGCCATTCTTGCTGGCTATGGGTTCTTCGCCTTGGCTGGTGGCGTGTACCTCAAGCGCGGTACTCCCTTTAGCTCATCACAGCAAGGACAGAAAATCGAACGCATCATTTCCGACATTCTACAACAAGCCGGTGGTGTGCTCAAGGTAATCTTGATCATCAGCATCGAGATGTTGGTATTCCCACTGTACTGCGGCCTGCTCCTCGACCTTGCCATGCTCCCTCTTTTCAAGAATGCTACGCTGTACACACGGTGGCAATTTGCTAGAGAAAGTCCATGGACATCTGGGTTTGTGCATTGGTTCATTGGCACTTGCTACATGTTCCACTTTGCACTCTTCGTCTCCATGTGCCGTAAGATTATGCGCAAGGGTGTCCTGTACTTCATCCGCGATCCAGATGATCCTACATTCCACCCGGTCCGTGACGTTCTAGAGCGCAGTGTCACGACTCAGCTTCGCAAGATTGCCTTCAGTGCTTTGGTCTACGGCGCACTGGTCATTGTTTGTCTTGGAGGAGTGGTTTGGACTCTGAGCCGGGCAACTTCCAATGTTCTGCCAATTCATTGGACAACCGAAGCACCATCGCTAGAATTCCCGCTTGACCTCCTCTTTTACAACTTCCTCACGCCAGTTATTGTCAAGTTTTACAAGCCTAGCGAGGGCCTACACGCCATCTACAAGTGGTGTTTCCAGAAGTGCGCCGGTTTCCTCCGCCTTTCAAACTTCCTCTTCGGCGACAAGGTTCCGGAGCAGGAAGGCGAGGACGGCAGATATGTTCGTGCTCCATCTTCAGATCAAGCCCGCATTCCTAAGGGCCAGCCTGTCTTTGTCGAAGTGGACCGAAACAATGTGCGCAAGGATGGCCAGAACGAAGGAGGTGTGCACAACTCTGATCTTGTATCCATGGTTTTCATACCACCATGGTTCCGCCTGCGCATCTTCTGCTTCGTAGTCACAATCTGGATCTTCATGGGTCTGTCGGGAGTCAGCGTCACCATCCTACCTCTCCTCTTCGGCCGCTATCTCTTCTCACTCTTCCTCCCCCCAACTGTTGAAATGAACGACATCCATGCCTTCTCCCTCGGAGTCTACACCATTGCCAGCATCGCCTACTCGGGATATCACGCTACCAAATTCATTTCTTCCCTCAACAGACGTCTCCCAGACCCCATGTCTACCTTGCACACTGTCGCAGCTACTACAGCGCGTGTGGGTGGTCGTGCCCTCCGCTTCTCATACGTCTGGGCCAGCATCATCTTCGCCATCCCCTTTTTATTCGCCGTCATCCTCGAACTCTACTTCCTCATGCCCCTCCACGCCTACCTCGGTCCCAAAGAACCTCACGTAGTCCACCTCATTCAAGACTGGACCCTCGGGTTCTTGTACTCGCGTCTCGCCGCCAGACTCATCTTCTCAAATCGCAATTCCCGTCCTGCCCGCGCTTTTGCCGCCGTCGTGCGTGACGGGTATCTATATCCTAACGCGAGAATTGCGACTAGGTGCTTTGTTTTCCCTGTTCTCGCCATCTTCCTCGTTGCTATCGCTATACCATCTAGTCTGGCGTTCTTCGCGACAAGAGTACTGTACCGTGGGGCGAGTGAGGCGACGAAAAATCAGGTTTGGCGCTTTAGTTTCCCTGCTGTGGGCCTTAGTATCGTGCTCATGTGGGCTTCGTCGGCCGTTGTGAGGTTGCTTGTTCGCTGGAGGCTGGTTGTCCGCGATGAGGTTTATCTTATCGGAGAGCGGTTGCATAATTTTGGCGAGAGGAGGGCGCCCGTTCAGGGGGTGCGGGATAATGCAAGGAGTGGTGAAGAGGCGGTGGTGGGAGCGTGAGAATGTAGATGGAGGATGGAGGTGGGGAATTATAGTTTTAACATGATCTCTTTTTTTGGTAGCATTCTTAATACCACTCTCGCATTGTACAACATATGATTCTTGAGGTGGCGTGGTTTTGTTTTTGTTGGAGTTAATTTAGATGATTGTTATTTTTTGCACTATCACATTCTGTTCACACCTCATGCTTACGGTCATCAACCTGGATATTTTTCGTACGCAACAAAAAGTTGCCAATTCACTGGCTATCATATTTCTAAGCACAGTGAGGCATAACCGGGGGGGGAGGGTATAACTAATTAGATATAGCGCCGCGCCCTTCCCTCTCCTCCTCCAGAAAAGAAAGGTCCGTTCAATTGCCCCCCCAATCGTTAACGTGAAGGCCGCTCAGAAAAAAAACAGCGCATCATTATCCCCAGAAACCAACAGGAAGGGAAAAAAAACTAATAATACAAAAAAAGGGAATGATAATAATCAATTCCTGGCTCATTACACGTAGCCTCCCCGTCCACAACCGAGCATTTCATATATACCATACCATAAGCTCTCTTCTTTTTTATTTTTATTGTTTTCTTCTTCCTCCATATTCCATAACACGCGCCAAATTCTCAAGTTCGCCGAGCCGTCCTCGATCTTGTAGCAGGTTTCGCCGTGGCAGCTTTAGCCTGACTAGCGGCGGTGGGCGCATCAAAAGATCTCGTGGCACGTTTCTTTGGTGGTTTGGTAGAATCATCTGTGGTGAGGGGCTCGTCGTCGGCTTTGCGTTTGCGGGAGGGCTTTGGGATTTTTGAATCCGTGGATTGGCTGGTGGGAGTGGGGGCGGAGGGGGTGGTGTCTGTTTGGGATGCGGAGACGCTGCGAGTGGCGGTTGAGGGAGGGGGTGTGGGGGGTCGTTTGGTGGAGGGGGGTACATCGGTGGGTACGGATTCGGCTTCTGTGGCTTCCTTGTTGCCGTTGCGTTGTTGGGCTACCCAGGCGAGAAGCTTTTCCTCGGCGTCGCCGTCGTCTTCTTCGTCTGAGCCTTCGAGCATCGCGTCGGCCATCTCGCCTGCAATGTCGTCGCCGGCATCCTGGTCTACGGCCATGCGCATGGCGAACTCGAGCAGCTGTTGGGGATCCATGCCACTCAATGGACCACCGGCAGCGGCGAGTTGACGCTGCAAGGCTGCCAGAAGAGCCTCTTGAGAGATGCCTTGTCCTTGTTCACTTGTTGCCTCTTCGTGGTCCTCTTCTTCGTCCTCATCGTAAGGCGGTGACGCGGGCTCTGTAACAAACGCCATTTTCCCCTTTCCTTTTTCTGATGAAACTGATGGTGCGCCTGGTGAGGTTGGCGGCGACCCCTTTGCCCATTCTGGTATGTTGGCAAGCCTCTCGCGCCAGTTCTTGAACAGGGCATATGGCTGCGCGTTGTCCTCAAGCGCTTTAGGCTTCACGCCGCGGTCTGCCTGAGAGCGCCAGACAATGGGCGAGTGAGTTGGCGCAGCAGGTTCCGCGCCCGTATTTGTGTTGATGTCGGCCTGACTCTTCCTGGCTGGACGGCGGACTGGCCGTTTCCTCTTAGAGCCCGCCTTCACACCCTTGACGTCGAGGGGCTGGAAAGTAGTATCATCGTAGCCGTCGGAGGCGTACTCAAGATCGTTGAAGTAATCGAAGCGGTCCCAGTCCTCTTCCATGTCTTCGTCGCCGCATGTGGCCGGTGGAGGCGAGGCTACGGCGTGCTCTGCGAGGTCGTCGGCTGCCATGTACTCATCTTCGACGTAGAAGAACTCGGCATCGTAGTCGTCGTATTCGTCTTCGTAGTCGCTCATGGTGGCTAGAGATGAGGCGTGTTCTTGTCGAGGGTGCAGTCGGAGCAAGTGGAGGCTATGACGCGGGCGCGTGCAGACGACGCATTCAGGCGCACGGGGACCATGAGTGGCGCATTCTCGAGGAAAGCGCGACGGGCAACAAGCAACAGTGAGCTGGCTGGCGCCGTCCCACATCACCCACGCTCCTTCCCTATTGAGTTGCTGGCGTGGAGTGCGACTGCCCGCTCCTGTTCGCGCGTGCCTCTTCCCCGCGTCTTGACGTCGCCCGGCTCCACGCGGCTTAACACGACACCGAGGCTCCTCGCACACATCCATCGCTCAGCACCGCATGTGCTTTACTTTTTTGTAGCTGTCCAGTCAATCAAGCAGTCAAGCAGTCAATCAATCTGTCCACCTCCTCTGCTCCATAGACTGCATTCGTGACCATGCGTGCCTTTCGCAAGTCTACTCACCTCTCGCGCCAGCTGCTTGCTCCCAATGGCATCCGCTGCAATTCCACCGCTGCGCCCACACCCAAGTCGCTTACCTCTGTCCTCATAGCAAATCGTGGAGAAATTGCATTGTAAGCCGCATGCTGGGGACGACCAAGCATCGCATCTGACATGGTCTTAGACGAGTCGGCCGCACAGCATCAGAATATGGCATCCGGACCACAACCCTATACACAGACCCCGATGCCCGCTCACAGCATGCCCTCAGCTCGCCCTATGCCGTCAATCTCGGCGATCCCTCTGCATATCTCGATGGCGACCGCATAATACAGATTGCAAAGGAGCAGGGCTGCCAGGGCATACATCCAGGTTACGGCTTCGTACGTCCCTCCAGACACCGACATGGCATGACACTAATGGCACCATAGTTGAGCGAGAACCCGACTTTTGCGAGAAAATGCACAGATGCGGGCTTGACCTTCATCGGTCCCCCATGGAAAGCAATCGAGTCCATGGGAAGCAAGAGGTGCGTGCTGACCATTCAACATAGCCATGCTAGCTAATATGCACAAGTGAGTCCAAAGACATCATGACCAAAGCCGGCGTCCCCTGTATTCCTGGATACCATGGTTCCAACCAAGATCCAGAGTACCTCAAGGAACAAGCAGCAAGCATCGGTTATCCTGTGCTCCTCAAGGCTGTTAAAGGTGGAGGCGGCAAGGGCATGCGCATCGTCAAGGACGAGTCCGAGTTCCTTGATCAACTAGCCTCTGCAAAGTCAGAAGCGCGCAATTCCTTTGGAGATGAAGTCATGTTGGTCGAGAAGTACATCACCACGCCTCGCCACATTGAAATCCAGGTCTTTGCCGACAAGCATGGAAATTGCGTCGCATTGGGCGAGAGAGACTGCAGTATCCAACGCCGACACCAGAAGATTCTTGAGGAATCTCCAGCCCCTCACTTGGATGAGGCTGTCAGACAAGATATCTGGGAGAAAGCTAGACAGGCTGCTCTTGCCGTGGGCTACGAAGGAGCAGGAACTGTCGAGTTCATCTTCGACAACGACACCGGTGAATTCTTCTTCATGGAGATGAACACCAGGCTGCAGGTCGAGCACCCTGTTACTGAAATGGTTACTGGTGAAGATCTTGTAAGATGGCAACTCATTGTTGCTGAGGGCGGAAAACTACCCCTTACCCAGCAACAAATCGAGCAAAGAATCAAGGAGAGAGGACATGCCATCGAAGCGCGCATATACGCCGAGAATCCAGACATGAACTTCATCCCCGACTCTGGACTTTTGCTTCATCTTAAGACACCTCAACCTAGCTCTACTGTGCGTATCGACTCTGGATTCATCGCTGGTGATGAAGTATCTTCGCACTACGATCCTATGATTGCCAAACTCATCGTCCAAGGCCCTACGCGTGAAGCAGCAATCCAAAAACTGCGAGCCGCACTCGAGGAGTACGAAGTTGCTGGTCCTGTCACAAACATCGAATTTATCAAGCGTATGTGTGTGTCTCCAGACTTTGTCGCCGGTGACGTAGAGACGGGGTACATCCAGAAGCATCACAGTGAGCTCTTTACCCCTGAGCCTCCAGCGCCAGAAGTCTACGGTCAAGCCGCACTGGGTCTCGCTCTTCAGCAAATCTCTGCGTCAAAAGGAGACGTATGGACGGGACCGCCAGTGACAGCTGTTGGCTTCGGCTTCAGCAGCGCCTACCAACAGCGCGACTTCAACCTCATCGAGATACCCGCCGACGGCAAAGGCGAAGCCAAAACAACCAAAGTTACCATCCGCCAGACAAGTCCCCAACAATTTGACATTACCGTGGGCGACAAAACATACAACAACGTCACATCTACCTTTTCTCCTTCAACCAACACAATAACCTCTTTCTACCCACATACCCGTCTCGCCACAACCTTTGTCCGTGACGAAGACCGCATCACCCTCTTCCACCTCGGCCGCCAACACCGCCTCCGACTCGCCATGCCTGAGTGGACCAAGAAGGCTCTCGGCGTCAAGGACGTCGCCAACAGCGTTCTTGCCCCTATGCCCTGCAAGGTTCTCCGTGTCGAGGTTGAGGAAGGTCAGGAGGTCAAGAAGGATCAAGCACTTGTCGTAATTGAGAGTATGAAGATGGAAACTGTAATTAGGAGTCCGAGTCATGGCATTGTAAAGAGGATCGTACATGGTAAGGGCGATTTGTGTAAGGCGGGCACTGCACTGGTGGAGTTTGAAGAGCCCGAGGCGGAGAAGGAGGCGTAATTGTAAATTTATGTGGTGTTGGGATTTTCTTGGGTTGATCAAAAAAGCGATGTTATGTATCTCCATGTATGAATTTTATGAGTTGTCTATGATGAGATGAATTGTGAGGGGCGCATGCTGTGATGCATTCGGCTACGTACAAGAATGGGATCACTGTCTGTTTTTTAGTAGAACCAGTAAGCTAAATCTATGAGTCTTGAAAAACTTACCTTCGTTGCTACTTTTGCGTTCCGTGTTTTGATGGGATTTTTTTTTTCAAAGACAAAATAGTTATGTCAAATAAATATGTGATAATACAGAGGAACACAACGACCACAACATACTTATAACCACATTGATATTACCCAACCCTATGTTATCTATGAATTCAGTTTTACCTAAATATTTTTTCTTATATGAATCTGATCACAATTCACTATCGTTAGAAAAGTCATGAAAATGCTATCATGCAGATTTCTACATCTGATCCTGCAAATACAAAATCACTCGTAGAACACGATTTCCCCACCAAAGGACAGAGAATCACACAATTTTATCTATCTTCAAATCTTAGCACAAAACATGCAGACTGAACACCTAAGCCAGTGACTAGACACTCACCATGAAGCACCAGAAAGAACCCTTACAAAAAAAATCATATAAAATCAGTTCTTGTCAACACAGAAACATTTTAAATCTCTTCTTGCTATGTCCGTAGTATCTAAACCAACTACAAGCCCCCCCCCCCCAAACATCTACCTAGAAGAAGAAGAAAAATCCACTCAAAACAACACCCACCTAGCCACAAACCATCCATAAAACTAGACCTTTCAATCCTTCCCACCACCACCCTCCCTCCCTCCCTCTCTGTCTGTCTCTCCCATACAACCCACACCACCACCCCCTTTTTTCCCAGCCAGTCAACCCAAAAACCGCAACACCGTAAGCCCCCAAAAAGAGCTTCGGCTTCCCCGAGCCATGAGCATCAGGAAAAAGAACAAGGATTAAACCTGTTCACATAATCATCCCAGCTACCTTACCTCACC